TGTACTCCAAAATATAACTTCAAGAAAACTACAGCATAAAACTCACATAACATCTCCTCTAGTAATTATGTCCACACAAACATGTATATACACAAAAGCTGTGTACCGTCTACCATGTATTCGATTGTGAAAGCAGAATAACATATCATTTTTATTACCTCAAAACTCCCAAGAAAATTAAATTTCGACATTAAATGACCCATAAGGAGCTGATATGCCTTTAACAAATGAAATCAAATTAACACTTCAGATAGTCATGTGCATCTAAAATCTAACAGCAGAGAAGATGAAATACAATGAAATAATCCTTAATCCAGCTCTCTGTTTAATCAATGTAAAATGAAATACTTCCATCGTTGTAAGTAGATTTAAGACAAAAAAAAATTAATTCTTTCAGGGAGAAAGGAGTGTTTCCCTTTCTTTATTGTGTTCAAATCCTTCGCCCTCAAGCTTATTATATAAGTTTCATTATGTGAGTCAGTTATAAAGAGAAACGAAAAACACCTCCAAGCAAAAAAAATTGTGAAAACACGAATTATTGGAAAATCTCGCCTTGGAGTACTGGTTAACATATTAGAAGAACAAACTGTATCATACTTAAAATTTGTTAGTATTGAAATTGCCTCACCATGATTATTTTCGTATCTCTTTCTCTCCATTATATATATATAACTATTTAATTCCTGACCACCGACCACCTCTTTCTTAATTTTCAGTGTAAAAATTTAAAATCTTTAGGAATGCTTTTACATTATACATGTAAAAGTGAACAAGGATTAGTATGGTCCACCAGACCATTAGCACGTGTGAGTTCAATCCTCATTGGGTACAATGCACTTGTGGCCATGTGCCAGACTCAGTTAAAATTAGTAATGAATACGATCCCTTACTATGTAAGGTGCCTCGAATTTATAGGCTTATGTAAGACTTGGGTTTTGTAAATATCGAATGTGTCTCAACTTGTACCGCAAAGTATTACGATTATGAGTTCAGTTCTTAATGAATGTTCAACAATTCTGTCCTTGTGCCAAACTAAGCTAAGCTTCTATAATTATGCCGCATATTGCAATGTTATGACAATCCTTGCCTTTGAGGAAATAAAAACTTGTACGCTCGTACAGGTGCCCAGTATTTGTTTTTCATACGAAAAGATTAAGTTCCCACTTTAATCTTCTTTTCTCCCGCTTAGGGGTGGGAATTGACACGTCTTGAATTAAAATATTGCTTTTCAAATATTTCTACGTGCGTCCACTGGGCCAAGATCTTCTAAAATAAAATAGAATCATCGTAAAAAACAAAAAAATCAAACAATGGTTAGGCAAGTGTCGTGTTGCATCATGATATGCAGTGTTACCTCGTGTGTCAACTTGTCTATAGTCTCTGAATTCGGATGTAATTCATAGAAAAGATTGAATGCTGTGGAAAGGAAACATGGAAAAGTAACTGTGGCATGTGAAGGACAGGCATGTAAATGGCATTGTTTCTTTTTAAAAAAAATAAAAGAAACTATTTTGCTAAGTTAGCGGATATTTCTTCATCTTAGCTTAATTTAATAAAAGTCCAAATTGAGTGAAATGAAAAAAAAAGATTATATTGCAGCAAGCTTCAAAGGGGAGATGTTTGTCATAGAACTCAGTCTTCAGAATAACGTTTTATACAGAGTACAGAACGGAAATTAACTGATATCAACTGCAATACAAGTTGGACTTCACTTATCTAATGAACACATGAAACTCCGCTGGATAACAATGAACGGTTCGATCCTTACTGAGTTCCCTATACTTGTGGCCTTGTGCCAAGATAAGCTAAGCTTAATAAATAGCCATCAAACCGTTTACGCTGTCATGGTGGATAAGGGTTATTTTCTACTCTGCAACCTCTTTCCCCACAGAAATAAATAAAAAAAAACATTGAAAGTTTGTCACTACTCGATTGCTGTTTCAGTGGCAAAGCTTCTGATGAGTTTCATTCTTTAGTTACACTAGTCAAGACTTTGCTTGCATTCACAGAGTCAAATCACCATTGATTTGAATCTTATTTGGTGAAATTTAGTAAAGAAAAAATTCCACTAACAATAATAATAATAATACCACTACTAACAATAATAAAAATAATATTAATACTGCAACTAATAATAATATTACGAGTACTAACCAATAACACTACTATACCTAACAATAAAATTAATAACCACAATAGTACTACCATTAATAATAGTAATAATAATACCAATAGTGACTACTACCAACAATACTACTACCATCATTACTACTAATAATAATACTAACAATAACACTATTAATAATAATAATGCCTGTACTAACAATAATAATAATTTTCCCGATGCTATCACTGGTAGAACTTATTAAACTCGACATCAAAACTTCCATTAACTGATTACTTTAATGGTAACACAGTTAATGATAATTAAATAATATTTATTGGAAATTATTTTACAATAAAAATGGATAGCGTTTTCCTTATCGAAATGAATTGCAAATTATTTTACTGGAAAATGCATGGCAAGTTTTGTTAGGAAAAAATCAATAATATTATTTTCTATTAAATTGCATTGCAACTGATTTTCCAATAGAAATAAAATGCTAATTATTTTGCTATAGAAATTTGTTTCAAATTATTTGTTTAATTACTGACTGACGAACGATATATGTAAATCAATTACTAATGATTATTTCCATTCGGACTATTGTCCTCATCTTTATTTTTATTATCACAACATTTGTCCTTTGTTTTCTCTGACGTTCTTGAAGTGTTTCTTGATCAGGTTAACCTTTAAGGAAATGTCAGACTAAATCCTTTATTTAATTTAGTAATTCTTGATTACTGCTCGCACCTGTTTCCAGAGCAACAATTGGGATTCTGTTCTAAATAAGTCCAGATGAAGGGTATCCCCTCGACATGGACAGCAGAACAAGAACAATCTACCCACATAGATTGCATAATTCGTGGGAGGTTTAGCCGAATCGACAAACACGAGAAGATGGGAACAGCAGCCGAAACGTTGTGATAGCAACAACAAAGATAAGGACAATAGTCCGAATATAAATAATGTAATTAAAGATAAATCCTCATCCCAGAAATTCAGACAGAACACTTTAACGATTTTGCAATACAAGTGTATTGAAAATTAGGAAGAAAAGAATTGCCAATGGTCAAGAATTAGTGCAAAACTTACTGATAGAAAAAATGTAAATCAGAACATCATCATTGATATTATTTCCTTTGAATTCTGGTGGATAAACATTTCTTTCCGCATCCCAACCAGAAACCTAATGTCAAAAATGGCATCATGACATTTTCAACTGATCATTTTTATAAAAAAAATAATTAAAAAATAAAAAATATTTAAAAAATTATAAATTTAAAAAAAACTAAGATCACACATAGTTTACATAGATAAAACTTATAATAGTAATAGTTGTGGAAATGGAAGTAGCAGCAGCTTTCTATCATTACTATCAGTCAAGAATTTTGCTATCAGATAGTAACAATCCAACATTTAAAATTACCTAATCTTAAATCTTTCATCATAATCATATCTTATTCTGTTTTTTGGATTGCTAATTCTTATGATTAAGATTTGATTAAATTTGCATTATTTTTGGTCTTTTCCATTTGTGATTTTTTTCTACTTTTGATGTTCCATATTTACCTCATGTACTGGTAAAATATGACACGTATCAAACATCAAATTTTATGGAGATATGTTAATTAGTAATTAGAGCTATTGTTGAGTTCTGATAGTTAAGGGAGAGGGTCGGTGCAATGGCAACGGACCGGGAAATTAGCGAACCGAGTTCAAGTTTTGCTAGAGTTCGTTACATTCACTTTCGTGTTAATCACAAGTCATCGTGACCCACACGAAAGGTATGAATTCATCTATTCTCCCTTCAACAGGCTCGGCTCTTCAGTCTAAAAGATAGACACTTCTGAATTTCCAAACCTGGGTAGATGGAATTCGTTAACATGGGAACACTTGGTCGTCTAACAGAAGTAAAAAAAAAAAAAATTAAAAAAAACACCACACATACACATACACTTTTTCCAAGCATGGAGACGGAGAGTATGGTCAATCAACTCCAACCTGTGGGTCACTTAGATCAAAGAAACCTCACCAAATGCCTTATGTATCACGAGACACAAAACAGATAGCACGTTACTTACGCAAATATCAAGTTTCGCTTCTTTAATATTTTGATCTGAAATTGTCATTGTATAATGTTTGATTTCTGGGATTTAGTTTAAGTGCAATTACAGTGATGTATCTAAAAATCATACCATTTTTTTTTTAATGTGCTGATGGTGTAATGAATAATGGCTCCGAATTGTTAATCAGAGAACGGAGTTCCAATTCCAGTTGGGTTCGTTATATTCATTTACGTGCAAATACCTTAGACAAAGGTATGAATCCAACTCTTCTCCTCCCAGCTGTGGGTTAATTAGTAAAATTTTGTATCATTAATCGTTATCTTTTTAAAAAATTCTGACAATCTAAGAATATTTTTTGGCTTTAAATAACCTTCAAATGGTTGATAAGCCGTAGAAAACGAATCAATCAATCAATCAATCAATCAATCAATAAGGTCCGCTCAGCAGAGCTACGGTATAAACCACAGCTGGGTTCTGTAGATTGAGTAGGCGTTTGTTATGGGGATTAGCTAACCACCTTGGCAGATGGATGAGCTCGAAAAAGTGCAGTAGTCGGCGACTGCATTACAAAGAAAGAGAACATCGAAATGTTTTTTTTTGTGTGTGTGTGTGTGTGTGTGTGTGTGTGTGTGTGTGTGTAAAATAAATCCTTTTTTTTTCTTCGATAGACTACAGACTTAATTATGTATTTTTGTAGGTTTTCACATTTCCAATCTCATTTCGTCTCTCTTTTTCTTCAATTTTTTTTTTTTTTTTTAGATTTAAATGAATCCGGAAGAGGATCCCAATCCAAGTCAGACAAGAAACCAATAACTAAACCGATCAACAAAATGGTTTATAATTTGAGCGCGGCTGTCCAAGACGGTCAATCATCTGACCCGGATTCCTCAGGTATTCAAAGTTACGGCTCTTCTGCAAGCAGTTATATTCAGTCTGCCCTGGGCAAGGATTCGGACCAAGATTCCGGCCGCCTCTCAATTCCTGATTCGCTCAGCCAATGTTCCTTTACAGATACCGTATCTGCTTGGGATACTTCCATTATTTCACTATCACCGACCACTTCACACTTCAATATCCATACAGGCGTCGTCGACACAGAGGATTCTTTGCCCAGTGAAGTCATCAAGTCAACTAAACTCAGCCCAGAGAAAACAGTTCCAAAGAAACAGAAGTTAAAACAGAAGGTGAAATCTCTTAAAGATAAACTGATGGGGGGTACGAAACCAACTCCGGAATCCTTTAATGAAACTGTTTTATCAATACCACCTGACAAGACTGTTCTTCAATGGGTCACAGTAAGTACAGATTTTACTTATTTCATCGATTTCTTTTTAATCATTTCTTCCCAAGCCGTCAATCTATTACTGCGCTGAAATTCATAAAGTCGAGGTACAATATATAAATATAAAAAAACACAGAGAAACTACTTTACGGGAGTGAGAAGGTACTGAAACCGAGATGCCAGGTCATGATCAATAACATTACAGGTGTCTTATATTTTATAAAGGATTTCTACGTACATAAAAGCATCAAAATGTTTTAGATCTTCGAAAATTATTGAGGCAAAATTAACTTCAAATTGTTTATTCTGGTAGCTTAGTTTTTATACAAGTACAGTCCCCAATGAGGATTGAACTCACTACTCAGTAACAATGACCAGTGAGACTTATTCCACTAGGCAGTATTTGAGAAATCATATAAAAATGACCTTACATCCTAGAGATAGGATAAAGCTATATAGAGTAACTCTGAAAATACTGCATGTTCTAGTCAAGGGTCAGACGTCCAATAAAGTTCCTGAGCTCTTTAAAAAAATCTATACATTCACAAAACAGACCCTTTTTTCCATGAAAAAAGAAGTTCAACCTCATTTTATTTCTCGATGAGAAAGGACAGATGTGTGTGTGTGTGTGTATATATATATATATATATATATATATATATATATATATATATATATATATATATATATTAAAATGAAGAGAGTGAAACCGCAAAAAGTTTTTTTGGTCAGAATGTGGATTTTTTTAAAATATATATATTATGCTTTATTTTCCAACATTTTCTCCATTTTTTCCAATTTTGCAACACTAGTTTCGGGTCTCGCGGCCTTCTTCAGGTAAAGAGTGGATATTTCCACATATTATTAAAATAAATTAATTTTCCTTATGTTTTTCGATGTTAAACATTTTCTTTTTTGTGTGGTAGTGACGCAAATGTCTTTCTTAGACTGGCAGTGAGAAAGTTCTTCTGCTTGAAGGGTAATAAAACAATCAAGATTGGTCTGAGAAAGGGTGAGAAAAGATGTCTGTATTCTTATCTTTTAATGACCCCTGTGTGTTCTTAGATCTATTTCCATTTTTTGTATTGTGTGTGTTTTTGTTAGCATGCGTATGTATATGTATATTCCCTCTCCATACATACATACTGTCTTATTATAAGGAATTAGTATACACATATACATATATACTTACACATACTTCCTAAGTTTTGTAGAGTTCGTGTGTGTACTTGTGAGTAGTCTATTTATTTTTGCCAATATATTCGGGCTCCACAGATACCCGCGTGTGAGTGTGTGCGTATCCATGTGAGTGGTTCGAACACTGTATTTGGCCATTATGTGTTTTGTGTTTTTGTGTGTTGGGTGATGATCTATTTAGTGCTGGTTTAAATTTGTTTATAAAGTTTTTTTCTTGTAGTTGTGGGTAATAAAAATTGTCTGTTTGATATATTGGCATAATTTTAAATTCACCCACAGGCACAGATTTGGAGAAACGGGCCTTGATCATTTAAACATTCTGCACCACAACACAGCTGCTAATAGAAAACGGCTTTCTTGTTTTCCCTCAAGTGACCTGTATACTAATGATGAAGGGTCTCTGCTGATGACATAGGTATTCATGTTTGAGATAAGAAAGATCTTTAACAAAAATAAAATAAAATAAAATTATTTACCAATTATTCCAAGAATTTTTAGTAAACCTTTCCAAAATAAATTATGATTTGGAATTGGAATGAAACCAGTGATGGCACATACCCTGAATCTATCATAAAATCAAGCTTTAAACAGTTCAAAATAATTGTTTACTGCTTAGTTATAATAAATTTAGTCGAGGAAACAAGGACAATTGAACACAGAATAAGCTGTATTAGGGCTAAGATGCTATAAAACTAAAATATTAACCTAAAGAACAATGTTCTTAGTCTCGTCAGATCTAGAGTCATAAATGCCGCCTATAGCGTACAGCTTGGTCATAAATTTCTAAACTATAAGCTATATACAACCGTTCTCTCAGATCAATGATTAAAATGAATCTTTTAGGTCTTAAAGAAGACAATCCTTCCTCAGATCTTACAGACTTTCGCTACAGAATCCGAAAGTTCTTTACCAAAATAACAAAAACGACACCACATGAAGACTTCCAACAGCGGCAACAACTAAAATGGATAGCACATGTAAGCAGAAAGTAAAAATAATGATAAAAATCAAGATGTTGATTTCCCACACTATCTTAAACAAAAAGGTCAAGTAGAAAACTCTCATCAATACTAGAAAGAGCGAGAAGACTGCACTTGAGAAGCCGATGTACTTGAACTGTTTTAAGAGAAACATTTTATCAGTTTTAATCGACAGTAACGCTATCTGTTCGGTCAATGATTGCCGAATGTTTCTCGATAAGAAAACGGCTAAGCTCATCATTACTCTTCGCATTTATGAGGGTAGATCAATAAGGCCATAGCCTGACAATTATGACATGAACTTTGATATAGAATTTTCACTAAATAATGTTCAATTAAAATGATCTATGAAGAAGCGTTGGATTAAGTGCACTGACAAGAAGATTATATTGGAAAATAAATACCATTTTTTAATCACTGGATTTTGACACGTATTGGATGAATTTCTTTGGGAAAATACTTCGAAAAAAATACTAAAATCAACCGTACTTTGTACGTCCTTAACTGTTTACACTTTTCCACAAAATTTGGTCAAGGTATGGCTATTTTAGAGGGTATGAAAGATGGAATTCATCGACAAGATATTCTTCTTCTATGTGTCCTTTTCCTTCAGGAAGTTGGCAATCATGGTTTTCCACAAGTTCATGTCTTTGTAATTCTAGTAAATTTTGTCTGTTATCTCACCTAAACCCTATTCTGCCATCCATTTATTCGTTAGTTATGTGTTATTTTCCTCTGTTCCACTTGCTTTCAATATGAGAGTTAAATTTTCCAAGCCCTTTTTCTCATTATGTTCCGTAGGAAGGTCAACGGAATTATTAATGTAGCTTCCCACCCTCAACATACACACCTAATGAAAATTTTATGAAGACAATCCTGATCCATGTTGTAACTTTGTAAATTCAAAATGCGATCTGTTATCTTACTTATTATAAAACGCAGATTGTGTGTGTGTGTGTGTGTCTGTAACGTTTATATATTGGATCGAATTTCCTACATTTTTTCAACCGATTTCAGCAAAACTTCACAGGACTACATAAAATTACCTTGTGGTGGTTCTAACAGCGTCAAAAATGGGAAAAATATAATTGTTTTTGCACAAAATCAATTTGAAAACACGATTAAGAGACATAGTGAAAATGGAAGGGGGACAACTCATATCGGGTTGTTTGTGTGTGTGGGTTACTTTAAATATGGGAGCGGATTTCCTATATTTTCAGCCGATAAAACAAAACTTCACTTTTTTTTTTTTTTGGCAGCTAGTGTTTCGTATTCTCTTGCACACTTTTTTTTTTTATTTTAACATTCAGAATGCTTTAAAATTTCCATTTACAAGACAATTGTTTATAATAAAATTCTATTCAATCAGTAGACTCATAACGATTGAAAACAATGTTTTTTGTTTGAGTTTGGGTTTGACCAATTCGTAAAATAAAAAAAAAAAACTAATTAAGACATGCGTGTCCGTCAATCTTAAACAATAATCTAACGATCTCTACTGATTGTACGAATACAAACATCGGATAAATTCTTTATCTTTAGGAAAGATAATGAAATCTAAACATACACAAGTCCTAACTAAAAATAATAACCGGAACGGGAAACTACTTTAAATACACATGGTGTCCAATTTTTTTACTGTATTCAATAAGTAAAAATCATAAATTGTAAAAGATTATTATATATTACAGAGAAGGCTACTAAATGAATAAGATTTGTTAGATCATAATTAATAAACCCAAATAAAATTAATATTTTTTGTATTAGAAACAACGAGTGGAAAATATATTCAAATCAGAATTCTAATTATGAATAAGCACAAGCAAAATATGCAATTTTTTACTGTATTCAATAAGTAAAAATCATAAATTGTAAAACTAAAAGATTACAGAAAGGCTACCTACATTTTTCAACCGATTTCAACAAAACTTCACTTTTTTTTTGGCATGTAGTGTTTCTTATTGTCTTGCACACTTTTTTCTTTATTTTTTCATTCAGAATGCTTTAAAAATTCCATTTACAAGACAGTTGTTTATAATAAAATTCTATTCAATTAGTCGACTCATAACGATTGAAAACAATGTTTTTGTTTGAGTTTGGGTTTGACCAATTCGTAAAAAAAAAAAAAAAAAAAACTAATTAAGACATGCGTGTCCGTCAACCTTAAACAATAATCTTTGTCAATTTTATTTTTCAGTCTTTATGATGGTGGATACTTGATCTATCTCTTACTGTTATATCCCCGGGCAACGCCGGGCTCTACTGCTAGTTCCTAATAAAATGATTAGCACTCATTCAAATTTTTTATAATGTAGTACCTTACCAACCGTGGAATCAACTGCAATTTCAATTATCCGCGGTTTGTCCCACAACTTTAGGGTTGAAAAATTATTAGATCAAATAATTCAAATATCCCTTAGGATCAAATGTGTTATCAGTTTGCGATAAAACGCTTTACACTTGTTATCAGGGGCCTCTCTGCTTCTGATCTACATATCTTTACAACGGCTCGATGAGGACGATCAAGAGTCTCATAATTCATTACGGTCGGAGCTACACTGCCTTTATTGCAGCCGTAGGTATGGCAAAGGCAAGACATCCTGACGGAAGCCATCCGTTTTCATATCGGTTTTACCCTATTATTTACCCTAGTGGGGATGTGAAAATCCGGCATTTGAACCCCACTTTCTGCGCTATCATCGGTTTCATTATCCGCACCCCCTCCCATGAACGATAATTTTTAATTAGTCATTAAGAAGTAGGCAGATAATTAATTCTTTCACATTCTTGATTGCTAATGACATTTAAGTTTTGATTGCTCAGTACTGTCATTATTACTTGATTAATTAGGATTAAGTAATTAATTTCCTCTTAGATGAATTGACCTTTCACTACACATCTCTCGGATAACTGT